GCTCTGACTTCCCAAGTTTCTAAGGATTTAATCTCGGACAGTTCCACAAAGGATTTACTTACTGATTTACTTCTGGATCCAGTTTTCACCCCAATTACTCCTCATTTGGGCTGCAAAAGGAGAACCAAGCTTTGCTTGCCTTCACAGACTGCTTCTTTGATAACTGCTATTAGCCGATCCCAAATCCCTTGCAGGTCGTATCTTGACATTTGGAATAAACTTGGACAGAGATGTTTACCAGACAATTCATTACAATACCATTTGCCGTATAGATTTAAAAGGAGGAGGAAACTGCTTCTTTCACCAATTTTTCATCCTTCCTGCTGCTGTAAATAGATTAACACCAATGAGACAATCAGGAATCCTTACAAATTTAAGTACTTACAGAAGCTTTTGGTCCTTGAGCTCCTGCCAACTATTTCATTTTGACCAGGACTTACGGCAGACTTTTCTACCCATTTCTACCTGCTCACGCTCCAGACTGTTTCCAGGGGAAGTATGATGGGAAAGGGCTTATGATTTGAGATAAAAATCTTTGCTAGAAGGGGCTCCAGGACTGACAGTGGGAGACAGCACCAAGGAGCACTGTTCTGTCATGGGTGAGAATGGGAAAATGACTGTCCGGGCAGATAAACTCCCCTCTTGGCCTGGACTGTGTTGCAACCACGGCATCGGTCACTAAGTGCTCTAGAGAAGATGGAGGTTAAATGTGAAGGGGGAGGTAAAGGAAAAACAAAAGATGATCCTGAGAGCAGAGGGAGAACAAAGGATTTTTTTTTGGTTCTCCTTGAAGAAAAGCTTCCTGCTTATGAAAGAAAAGGGAAAGCCATGTTTAACCCACTCCAGAAGCATCAGGAGGCGAGCTGTTCCGAGTAGAGAAAGATGACAAGATAGCTTTTAGCATGCCATCCTCTTCTTCACAAGCAATGGAGGAGACAACCAGCTGGAAAGGACTTTGTACAAGATAATTCCAGTAAGCAGCCAAGCTTCCAGGTATTCTCTGAAGTCCCAGGAATTTTTGAACCAAGGAGTTACTGGGAAACCACAAGATCTCAACCGATAAGGTTTGGGCAGCCCCAGAACTGCCCTGGGAAGAATTTTCAAATGAACAGAATATTGGGCAGAGATGCTCTTTAAGTTGCTGTTACATTTGTGTTTATTGCCTCACCCAAACCCAGCAGGTGCTTGTCTTCATGCCTCTGGATCTTGGAGGAGGTTTGTTTCACTTTGTGCTGGGATTCTTGAGTCCTAGGCTGTGTCTCTAACTCAGATTCAGTGTGTTTCTTAGGGAAATGTATTTAAGCTCCACGCAGACCTTATTTGTAGAGTAAGAATAATGCTGACTTACTTCACAAGGGGAGTGGGAGGATTAATTAACAATGGTGAGGCACTACAGAATTGCTAAACATTATTAATGGCTCCCAAGTTTTCTTCTTTTGGAAACAGTGGCCATTTCTTCTTCCCATAATGTTTTAAACAGTTGCTGCTCAAGGAGCTTAGATTGCAGATTCCTGGCCTGTGGTTTGTCCATAAATCATAGACCTGGAGCCTACCCAACACACTCTCGATAGTCT